CGTAATGTTACGCTATGCGTATTTAACATCCGAGCCTCAAATCGGCAGCCCGGGCGATACTGAACTTGCTTGGTATCAATGGAAAAAGTAAAATACTTGTTAAGTTTTGTTCTAACATGTGAAGAAAAGCCAAATGTTACCTTCTACGGAGTATTATTTCCAACCTGGATCATTGCTTTTTTTTAATAAACTCATAAATTAGCATTTTATTGTCGACAGCCTGAAGATTTTTGTACACAAACTGTTCAAAGCATATATATTAATTAACGGGAATAAATTACCAAATTACAAATATCATGCGTGGAACTAGCAAATATGAAGCATGCGTGCCCTTCTCACCCAATGTCACCAAGACGATCGAGGCCATTCAGGTTTTTCAATATATGGTTCACCAGTTCGGCATTATTCCTTTTCCGTACATAGTACAGAGCAGGAGGGATGTCGTTCTCTATCTGAAATCGTATTTTTTTTGCGATATTTGATATCGTCCGTTTCTCATATTTATTTTGTAATGCGAGCCGTATCACTTCTGCCAAAAAATTTATTGATTAAAATGTTACCACCGTTTGGCGTTCCTTTTGTCCTGAGGGAAGACTGTCCAAGAATCGTTCGAATGTTGCTTTCCTCGGATATGACTGAAACATCAATGCTCAAAAATTCAATTTGCATTAGATGGAGCATTTGCCCACCCCAAATGCTACCTCCCCAATTTAATATTATCAATCACATGCATTTGGATCTTATGAACGGATGCCGAATAGAAAACATACAATTTTTTCTGGCGGAAGAACAATAACAATTTTTTTTACCGTGATTTCCCAGGGATATTCTATGTCTTTGCGTGGGCTAAGAATTTTAAATCCTGCTGTCACGCACATCAACGTTTTACGCACAGATTCGCCAAAGTTGAAATCGAAACTCTGCTAAAGTGCTAGTTCGGGGATCAAATCGATCTGACATACCCAATTTTACGAAAATGTTTGTTTTCCACACCGAAGACGTAGGCGCAAAATGAGTTTCGACGAACCCCCGTATCGCTTGTTCGGATACATGAAAGATATTTGTAACGAAGAGCAGTTTTACTGACTAGTCAAGTTAGAAAGCT